ACCCTATGTAACGGAACCCACAAATCAGGTTGTCTCCCCAATGCTCTGTCCTAATCACCAACAACCACCGTCCCTAAATTTGAAACTCTAGCCCTTCTCAGCATATCCAAGAAATCAGAATCATCAGAAGACTCGATTTCTCAAGAACCAACCTGCAAAAACAACAAAATCCTTTGAAAACTCCCATTTTGAACTTCTTCAATGATGACATCGATTCAACCCCCTTCGGTTCAAAGTAAGACGAGAAGTGGATGTGAGGGATGGGAGATGGGTGTTGACTTCGATTTCAGTTTTAGAAAGAGGCAAAAAAAGCTTTTTGATTTGGATCTTATGCGGGATCTGATTAACTTTAGGAAAGAACATATAGAAAACAATTTCCAGAAGGAAATTTACACATACACACATACATAAATCGAATGTGGATTAGATATTATGAGTTTTCTTTTGTGTGAGAGATTTTTGTGTGTATGTATGTTCATTAGAAATCGGTGGAGTAACCAGTGAAATGAGAGAGAAAGAGTCAAAGAGATAGAGATAGAGAGAGGGGGATATATATATATATATATATATATATATATATATATATATATAGAGAGAGAGAGAGTATAGTGGAGGTGGGGGTGGAAAATCCTTTTTTTAAAATCAAAATAGCATTAAAATACTTATCGAAAAAAGGAAAAATGAAATCAAAAGGGCATAACCGTCTTTTTAAGCTTTTTTTGGACCACCCCCCCCCCCCCAAAAAAAAAACCTTGATTTTGGACATTCTATGCAAGTTGAAAACGTTTTGGACCCTATCCAAAAATTTTTGAATACCACAGGGACTAAATTTGCAGTTTTGTCTATAATTTACTCTGTTTAAGATAAACTCCAAACATTTGTTCATGTTCTTAAACAAAATAGCTTCAAATATTCGTTTTCTAGCGACTCTTAACTAACTTTGTCACACCCCCGAACCAGACGGCGGAAACGTCCGGGGGCTGTCGTGACTCAATTGAATACCATCACAATGAATATACATGAAACATAACATTATACATCACCAACATTTGGAATGATACAACTGGTAGCGTTTACGTCCATTACATTGTTCCAAAATATTACATTCCAAAATACATTGTTCGTTGTTACTTAAACAACCGCAAAACAATCATGGAGTACAGTCCTCTCTTCACTTATCTGTTACCTGAGAATACAAGTATTTTGAAAAACGTCAACATGTGAAATGTTGGTGAGTTCATAAGTAATGTTTGAAATCCCATGTTTGTAATGTTTTAAAAAAAAACCACTAGAAAATCCGATATTTTCTGAAAATAGAATAGCATAAAAATATGTGAAGATCCGTGAGTATGCTTGTTTGAATTCTATAGATGTAAGCGTAAGAGTTGCGAAATTTGACATGTAGTTCGTAAGTGTACTAGTTGAAAACCCTAGGAAAACCCGATGTTTTCCTATCGCTTTGCTTTAATTAGTTTATGTGTTGTGGTTTCGTTATGTTAGAGGTATTTGTTGAGCTCCGGAGGCATTGAGTATACAGTGGGTGGTGAATTGCTGTAACGTCCGTTAATGAAAACGTCCAGTCGACAACCGTACTAATGATCCCTTAGGCGTCACTCGCACTTATTCACACAACTCAATCCTCCCGGACTTGTGTAGTCCCACGACCGGAGGGAAAAAGAGAAGGTGCGAATCCCTCGGTATTTCCCCGCGTCGTTCAAGACCATTGCAATTGCGAAGGGCTCGAAGCCCAACCCGCAATCGTGAGTTCCCGAATTTAGTAGCAGCACTGAAGGACCCTTGGGGACCAGCAGCATGTTTGCCATTGAAAGTCCTTTTACACGCGGTCGAGTCGCATTAGACCCAACTACATGTAAGCAAGTGTCCTTTGGGCCTAAAGATCATGTCATCGGGCTAGCTAGGCTCAAACAAGCATGATTTGCAACTTTTGGGCCTAAGGAGTGTACGTCGACGTATTGAGTAATTCCACGAGAGTAAAGAGTTCCAAGAGTTTCATATGTGTATTGAGCGTTATAGTGTTAGTAGTTTTGGATTTGTTATTGATTCGAGACCGAATCAATTCGTTTGGTAACGATTGTTGGTGATATTGTGTATTGTAATTCATCGAGAGTCGTAGTGTCAATCTTTATTCACAACGAGTGTATTGAATTACAATTGAAAATTTTCTGTTTACAACCCCTCTTTATTTTGTAAATTTACTTTTTCACCCCTTTAGGTAAAATAATTTCCGGTTTAGTCCTTAAACCATTTTTCTTGACATTTTAACACCCAAAAATTATTGAAATTAATATTTTTCAGCATATTTTTCATTTAAAACAGTTTAAGTCCCTGAAATTGCAGTTTTCTCGGTTATAACCCCTCTTTTTCGCAATTTTTACATTTTTGGCCCAAATTGGAAAATTTTTGCAACTTTGGTCCTTTTTAAATTTGAAAAGCATTTTAAACCTTTGAAAAGTACTTATAACACTAGTAACCAACTGTTTTACAGAAAAACACAGTTTTGGCCCTCCAAAACAGAAAATTTCGCATAATGGGCCCTATTGGGCCGAAATTGTCATTTTTAGCCCATTAAGCTTGAAATTTATGTTTTTAATCTTCCAAAAGAGTATATTTTCAGAAAATACATTATGGAATCTGTTTTGACTCATCTCACCCATCAGATTTCGAGATATTTCATTTTGGGCCCTTTAACTTTGTATTTTTAACATTTATGTCAAAAAAATGAGTTTTTAGCCCAAAGTATGTATTGTTAAGCCACTTAGCTATTTTTCTTGGTATACTTTGTATGTAGTAGTATATTTTATGCTAGTATAAGATATATCTCGGTTTTTAGCAATTCATAACTAGATCTAGCATCAAAATCATACAAAACATACATATAAGCATAGAAATCAACCAAAACATACACATAATAATGGATCTACACCTTTGCTTGTATTCTCCCCCACAAAAACTTATAAAAACCGAAAATAAGGGGGTATGAAGCTCACCTTGGTGTTGATTCGGTTTTTGAAGAAAGGATGGAAGAAATGAAGTGATTTTTCGGCCTTAGCACCTTTCCTTGGTAGATCTCGAGTTTGGTGACTTCTAAGGTGTATGATCACAAGTTGGAATAGATTTAGAAGAGGTTTTTGATGAATGAAATAGCTAGATCATGGATATAAGTAAATACTTACCTAAGATGATGATTAGCTTGAAAGTTCCTCTTGGAAGCTTCTAAATTTCGAGATTTTTGAGTGGGGAGGGAGGAGTTTTCTTGAGAGAGTTGAGAGATTTTTGTGAATGTGTGTGTGTTTGAGTATGGCCGAGAGTGAGAGAGAGGAGAGAAGAGAAGTGATTTTGAAGTGATATGTGCATGGAAGAATGAGAAATAATGCATGGATGTCCAATGGATAAAAATGAGGTGGCAATGGTGAAGTCAACTCTCCTCTTGGGCTTGATTTGGGCCGAGAATGATGGGGGAAAAGAGGATGTTTGGGCCTTAAATACTTAAGCCCAATTTTCATGGTTAAGTTGAGTGATTTTTGGTCCAAATAAATTTAAAGGTGATTTTTATGACTTGTTAGGGTCAAATTAGGTTAATTATGGTTCATAGTCATTAATTTATTTCATTCTAGGCCCAACGTGGTCCAAAATGTTGAAATAAATTAGTGTGGGTCCAATTAGAGCCCAATTAGGGTTCTAAGCCCATGATAGTCTTATTGGAAGCTTATTGGTCCATTTGGATCCAATAAGGGAGTCCTAGTCCAAAATGGACTTAAGCAAGGACTTCTAGGGTCTCCAATTGTTTGATGACTATTTGTAGTACTTTGTATGATGTATTTGATTGAAGTTTTTGAAGTCATAATCATAGGTGTTACACATGTTCTTAAGCTTTTGATTCACTTTAGCTTGAGTGTATAGTTTACATGACACAAAATTTCCGGTTGTGACAAACTTTTAAACAAATTTTAGGGTCAATTTATAAAGATAATGAACTTTATATATATATATATATATATATATATATATATATATATATATATATATAGTCATTTATGTTTCTTTTTACACATACCATTAAATTTGTTTGTATTATTCAGAAAAAAAAACCATTATGGTTGTTGCGACGTCGTTCCGCTGGCGAGACTCCTGCTGGCTGAGGAATCTCTAGTCAGAACCTGTAGCTACAATCAGCCACAATCAAACACTACATCAGACATTCTTTGGGAGGGGATCTCGGGAGGATGCTCTGACGATCTAGTTAGCTACCTGGGGAGAGAGACTTAGTGGAGTATGAGGGAGAGAGTAAAATATATCGTACCTTTTTAGGCGCTTCCTAAGTCCCTTGTATATTTAGGGTTTTAGAAGGAGGGAACCAGAATAACAGGACTTGATATACCGGGATGCTATTGGTCCACCTGTCTTCGTCTAACCATTCTTGTGTCTTGATTGGAGTAGAAGGAATAAACTGTAGTGACCCGTGCGTAACCGTACTGACATCTCCCTTTGTATGACATCTCATAGACCTGTGTAGGGAGCAAGAGACTTTCCCTTAAATGACGTTGGTTGGCTGTCGAGGATAGTTAATCCTTCCGTTCTGTCTTGCTAGGGTCTCGCATTGACGTTCCTTTCTACTAACTCGTAGGCTTAGTTGGGCAGTGTTGTTCAACTGTCCCTTCTTTCATATGTTCGAGCTAGCGACTGCCTCGCTAGATGAGATACCATTGCGTTGTCACGCCATGAGGAATCGCTATGGGGTACGTCATCAAGCCCCCTAGTCTGGTAGTGATGGCTAGACTCATAGGTACATGTTTCACTTAGTTATATGTCGGGCAGTTATTACTTCTACAGAATGGTCCGCTTTTTTGGGGCGTTTGATTTGCCAAAATCATTATCAATAAATACCCGCCTTCCCTTTTACATGCTTTCTTCTTTCCATCTCTCGGTTTTTTTGTTCCTCCGTTCTTCGTCTTTCAAAGAAAATAGCTCTCTCTATCCGCATGATTTCTTCTCATTGTGTTATTCTGACCTCCGAGTATGCTCAGACGCTCTGGGTGAAGTATGATTTTCAGCCTCAGGACGAAGTGCTTATACCTTTGGATGGAGCCTCCTTTCTAGAACCCCCACCAAGAAAGGTTGACGTCTTTGTCAATGTTTACTACTGGGTGAAGTATGCTCATGTCCTTGTGCCTGAAGAGAAGAGCAGCCCAAAGAACTAGCAAAATCATTGGTTTTGGGTGGACAATTCTTGAGTCAGAGGACCCTACTTTCGGACTGAAAGAACTTCTGATAGCGCACCCAGGCTACTTGGTCAGGATCAAGAAGCTGATCGTCTTCTGGAAAGTTTTACCGTTGCTCCCCAGGAATTCCCTGAGTACATTCTTATTGGAACAGGGATGAGCACCGAATGGTAGTGTCGTCAAGAGATGCCTAATTTTTTTTGTCGTCAATGGAGGTAAGTTTTTTCGTTTCTTGCTTTTGACTTTCCTATTTTTGTTCCCATTCCTTTTCCCTTCCTCCTTTTTTAGAGATAAATGCGATGTTTATCTTTCAAGGGAGGAGCAAGTCATGTCTTTCTCTGATGTAACATCCAAAAATTCAAACCAATTTAAATTTTTTAAACATATCAAGTTCATCAAAACATTAAAAATTTGTTTCAAAATATATTGATTATCAAAGTTTTTCCCTGAAACATAAGCATAATAGGAGGAGCTGTACGATCACGCCATCGCCTTGTCGCGATCCTCTGATGTACCTGAAACAATAAGCTGAAACTGTAAGCCCAAAGCTTAGTGAATTACCCCCAAAATACCGATACACATACAATCCACAGAGCAATATCAACATTAGCATATAATATCAATAAAATAGAACATCATATACTGGGTCTACAACTTAACAAGCTGGACTACCCTTGGGCCCTCTGTACAAGTCTGGAATGCCTACCGGGCCCTCAACTCGTATCTAGAATGCTCCCGAGTCCTCAGTATGAGTCTGGAATGCCTACCGAGCCCTCAGCTCATATCTGGAATACTCTAGGATTTGTTGGCTACCGCACGGAGCAGTACAACCTCAACCCATCCCACATAACATGTCGACATGTAATAGATAAATACACATATAGGAAATCAGACAATATCACAGGTAGTCCTACAGACCTACCAAACTAGCATATCAACTGGCATACATCACAAGCATGCAATACTAACTCATGATCAACATCTAACACTACTAGGTTAATACATCCAATGGGCCGGCCTTGGTGCTTAAGACCCCTTAGTATAGTGAGGATAACTCACCTCGTAGTTGTCATCTCAGTAAATAATCAAAGCTTTCCGATCACTTGCCAAAGACTCCACCACCTATTACCATAATATGACCTGCTCATAAGTCTCTTTCCTCACAGAATAACCAACCTTGATCAAGGTCAAAGTCCTTAGTCAAGGTCAATAGTCCATGTTGACCTCAACTTGTCGAGTTTACTCGGCTACTCGCCGAGTCCTTTGAAGCACATCCAACTAGCCGAGTTCCTTCAAACCTCGATCAAACCTTAAGGCCACCCGTCGAGTTCCCTCCTTGTAACTCGACGGATATACATGCAAACGTGTCCTAGTTAAAACTTATCCGACTCGCCAAGTTGTTCTTCAACTCGTCGAGTCTTATGGAAATCTTCATCGGACTCGTCGAGTCGTTCGTCCCACTCGTCAAGTCTAATGCACGGCTTCATGTGACTCGCCGAGTCGGCTTTGCGACTCTCCGAGTCCCTTCAGTCATTTATCATGCAGACAACTTTTAAGCCATGGCAAGGCCCCAAATTGTAGATCCAACTTCCTTAGGCCTGCTTATCACGTAAAGTTGCAAACTTTACGTGCATGCAAGGCTCCAATGACTCAAAAAGCCCAAACTATGTTTGAAATGGGGTTTTACACTTAGGGAGGGGCTCAAACTTGCCAAAGCTAAGAACTTTATGGTCCTTCAATCCATAAGGAGTTCAGATCTGAAGTTACAACTTCAGATCTTGGCTCATACTCCAGGAAATGACTTTATAACCCAACCAAGAACCCTAATCTCCAACCAAGAAGGTCTAGAACGAAATAGAAAGGAGGATAACAACTTGATACCTTCCCAAGAGATGACAACTGGAGTAGATCCGAATTTTCCCCAAGCTCCTTGCTTCAAACCACTTGCTTCCCAAGCTCTTTTCACCAAATCCTCTTCCAAGCCTTCAAACACACAATGAGCACACACACATACATACACACACATATTAGGGTTTGTTAAGAGACTGCAAAGAGGCGGAAAGAGGTTTGTGTTCCCTTAAATAGGGTGCACAACCCCGGGATTTAGGGTTTCAGCTGCCAGCTCCTACTCGCCGAGTCCCAATATGGACTCGTCGAGTAGGTTACTTAACCCGCGATCCTTCCCGCTGCTACTCGACGAGTAGATCAACCAACTCGTCGAGTAAGGATTAACCCAATAATTCATATTTAGAAAATACCTGAGAATCGGGGGCGTTACAACTCTCTCCCACTTGATCTAGACTTCACCCTCGAAGTCCGCTGGAATAAACAATGCCGAGTAATGCTCGCGCATCTCTGCCTCCGACTGCCATGTCCACTTGGATCCCTTCCGATGTTCCTACTGTACCTTTACCAAAGGTATTTCCTTGTTCCGCAAAATCTTCTTTTTATTTTCTAGATGGCCACAGGTCTTTCCAAGTAGTTCAGCCTCTCATCAACCTGTATATCATCCAGTGATACTACCGCCTCCTGGTCCGTGATGCACTTTCGTAACTGCGAAACATGGAATGTGTTGTGAATCCGACTGAGATCTTCTGGAAGCTCAAGCCTATATGCCACCTTGCCAGTCTTGGCAATGATCCTGAATGGCCCAATATATCGAGGGCCCAATTTTCCCCTCTTCCTGAAGCGGATCACACCTTTCCAGGGTGAGACCTTCAGATGTACCATGTCACCTACCTGAAATTCCAACTCAGATCGACGTCTGTCGGTGTAAATTTTCTGCCGACTCTGAGCTGTCTGCAGTCTCTGCCGGATCTGCTGAATCTTCTCGGTAGTCTGCAAAACCACCTCCGTCCGACCTATTACCCTGTGACCCACCTCGCCCCAACAAACCGGGGTGCGACACCTCCGCCCGTACAACAGCTCGAATGGCGGGGTGCCAAGACTAGAATGATAGTTGTTGTTTTAGGCGAACTCTACAAGTGGTAGGTGAGAATCCCAACTCCCACTGAAGTCGATGACACACGCCCTCAGCATGTCCTCTAGGGTCTGAATAGTCTGCTCGCTCTGGCCGTCTGTCTGCGGGTGGAATGTTGTGCTGAAGTGCAATCGTGTGCCCAACTCCTAATGAAACTTCTGCCAGAAACGAGAGGTAAACCTGACATCCCGAACTGAGACAATGGAAACGGGAATCCCATGGCGAGATACGATCTCACGAACGTACACTTCGGCCAACTTCTCGACCGATGAACTCTCCTGTATGGCCAAGAAATGGGCACTCTTGGTCAATCGGTCCACAATGACCAAAATGGCATCAAACCCCTTTGTCGTCCTTGGCAGTTTTGTGATAAAGTCCATCGTGATCTGTTCCCATTTCCACATGGGAATCTCCAGGGGCTGCAGCTTGTCGTGCGGCCTCTGATGTTTGGCCTTGACCATCCTGCAGGTCAAGCACCTCTCGACGTACCAAGCGATCTCATGCTTCATACCTGACCACCAATAGTTCAAACTCAAATCCCGATACATCTTGGTGGCCCCTGGGTGAATGGAGAAGTAGGACTTATGAGCCTCCTCCATAACCATCTGCCTAATCCCGCCAGACATCAAAACCCAAACCCGACTGTATCTGGTCAAAAACTCAAATCCCGATACATCTTGGTGGCCCCTGGGTGAATGGAGAAGTAGGACTTATGAGCCTCCTCCATAACCATCTGCCTAATCCCGCCAGACATCAAAACCCAAACCCGACTGTATCTGGTCAGTAATCCCCGACTGTCCTGCACGAACCTGACGCTTTCACACTTGATCCTCTCCCACCTTAAATTCTCCGGTTGCATGCCCTCTATATGGACATCTTTGATCAAGCTCACAAGCAGGGAATCCAGAACTATTTTCATACATACTGCGGGGGTGGAAGACCCAGCCTACTTGCAGCTCAAAGCATCCGCTACCACATTTGCTTTACCAGGGTGGTAAAGGATCTCGCAATCGTAGTCCTTGACTACATCCAGCCACTTGCATTGCCTCATGTTCAAGTTCGGCTGATCCATGATGTGTCTCAAGCTCTTGTGGTCCGTGTAAATGGTACAGCGGACCCCATAAAGGTAATGTCTCCATATCTTGAGGGCGAACACCACCACCCCCAGCTCCAAATCATGCATAGGGTATCGTGTCTCATGCGGTTTCAGCTGCCGCGACGCGTAGGCTATCACTCGTCCTCTCTGCAAGAGGACCGTCCCTAACCCTGTGATGGATGCATCACAGAACACCACAAAATCCTCAACTCCCTCCGGGAGTGTTAGGACTGGCGCCTCACACAGACGCTGACGGAGGGTCTCAAACGCTCCCTGTTGCTCGGGCCCCCACCGGAAATCCACCCCTTTTCTCGTGAGACGAGTGAGGGGTACTGTAATCTTGGAGAATCCTGTATGAATCTCCGATAGTATCCTGCCAAGCCCAAAAAGCTCCTAATATCCGAGGGGGATTTCGGAACCTCCCACTGCATAACCGCCTCGATTTTGGCCGGATCGACCAAAATCCCTTCTTGGTTAACGAGATGTCCGAGGAATTGGACCTCTCGTAACCAAAACTCACACTTCAAGAACTTGGCGTACAGTCGTTCCCGCCTCAGGACCCCCAACATCTCTCGCAGAAGCTCCTCATGCTGTTCTCGGGTCTTGGAATACACCAAGATATCATCAATAAATACTATGACCGAGCAGTCAAGCATCGGTCTGCAGACCCGATTCATCAGGTCCATAAACACTGCTGGCGCGTTGGTGAGCCCAAACGGCATCACCACGAACTCGTAATGTCCATAACGAGTTCGGAACGCAGTCTTCTGCACGTCCTCCTCCCTGACCCTGACCTGGTGGTACCCGAACCTCAAATCTATCTTGGAGAACCAAGATGCGCCCTGCAGCTTATCGAAGAGGTCGTCTATCCTCGGGAGTGGGTAACGGTTCTTCACTGTTAGCTTGTTCAACTCCCGGTAATCGATGCACATCCGATGTGAACTGTCCTTCTTCCGGACGAAAAGAATCGGTGCTCCCCATGGAGAACTGCTAGGTCGAATGAACTGCCTGCCCAACAGTTCCTGTAGCTGCAACGAAAGCTCCTGCAGCTTAGGCGGCGCCAATCGGTACGACGCCTAAGGATAGGGGCCGCATCTG